ATCATTTACTTATCAAAATGGACTTTATTCTGTTCACTTCTCCCTTTGGCTTTTGGTTAATTTATAGCATTCATATCTATCAGTCACACTCACACCCACTTTTTCCACCCTCCTGCAGTCTAAGTCTCAACTAAAATGTTTGTTTCAGTTAGAATTGATAGCCTACAATGAGAGCTTTCTAATGTGTATATATATAATGGTACTAAAAAGTAAAAACTTTGAAATTGGCACATAGGAAACCTAGATATGATAGCTTTTGCAAAAATGTGGCAAAAATTAGTCCATTTTGGAGACTTAATTTAATAAAGAAAAAATCCATATATTTTCAATTTTTACTTGTATTACAGTTACACTTATTTTTATATGATAATTTCTAACTGTATAGGTAATCTTCATTGATGATTGAGTAATCAAGATCAAAGAAAAAAAATATATCAGTCACATTGAAGTTTTTGTCATGAGAAAACTTTGTTAAGCATAGTAATAGTGGGTTGGCTTTGGTTCATTGTAGAGCACTGCTAAATGCTTAATGTATATTCCATTAGTGTCATTGTCTGAAATATTTATCAAATTGGTAATAAAACAATGGATAACAACTTAAGTATCAGACATCATGTGTTTTCTTGCTAACTGCATTTGTGGTGCACTTCTTCTAATGTAGCTCATGCCCTCTCACAGAGTTGTGATCATAATTATTTTTCATGTTTCACACAGTGATATTTCCCCCAGCCAATCTTGCACATAGTTCTGGAGCTCACTAATGGGAAGAGACATCCCTATTTTCTATATCCCATTGATGCAATTTGAAATAGTGCACTAAATTTCTCTAATTAAAAATGCTAACAAGTTATAATGAAGTTTGAGCAAAAGATAAAAACTTTGACCAAAATACTCCATGTACCATACTACACAATAAAATATTCATTTAAAAATCATTTTTGATAATCTGTAGGGTAATAGAGGACCATTTGTGGGGTAAGACAGGACCATATGTGGGGTAAGATAGGGCCACTTGTGTGATTAAACAGGATCATTTAGTGGTCCTGTCTTACCCCATGTCTGGTCCTTTTTTACCCCATTTTAGAATACATGTCAGGCAGTGATGGTAGCAGGTAGGAATGCGTAGTATGTCTAAAAAGTTGCCTATTACTTGAGGTAACCTGCCTACATCCACAAACCTGGTAAAAAAAAATTTTGTCATTAGATAGAGCTTATTTCCCAAACAGGGTTAACTATTTTTTTACCCTTCTTTACATAGGTTTTCTTTAAAAATTAGCCAGAAATTCATTATTTGCAGAAAAGGGTTGCCACAAACACTGAAATGACAGGCAATGATTGTTCTAACATATTGTTTTGTCAAATTGAATTCAGTGCAATTAGAATGCACACCATGGGCTGGTCCTTTCTTACCCCATGAAGGCTGCGATCCTGTCTTACTCCATTTGACTATAAGCCTGCAAGAAGATAAAATTATCTTCTAGCAGCCAAGAAGATAACTTTTTTCAACCAAACCAAGAAAATATCCTTGCACTTTTAATGTTGTAAATACATATTTTAACACATGAGAAAAATTCCCAGCATTTGTTCTCCATCAAGTTTGCCACTGTTGACTGTCAACAATGACTGCTGCTGGCAGATTAGGCATCAGCAGCAGAAGAATGTAGGCATGTGGCAGCTTCATTCTTCTTTGCCTCATTCATTTCCTTATTTTTAGTTGCTGATGAATCTCCATTCTGCTACTGCTATGCTGTCCAGGGCTGGAAAAATCCTACTTTTTTCTGAAATATCGCAGCTCTAATATTATATAATTTCAGTAGGTGTGAAACCTTGCGGCTTTAATGTCATGTATGTTTGTTTTATTGAAAAAAAATTGTGGTTTGCACTTTGCGAACATGTCGCTTCATAAAATTTTCAACTTCCATAATCCGCAGTACTTCAATGCTCCTGCCAAAATATCCTACAGATCGTAATAACATGTCAACCCAAATGTTTCCTTGAACTTGAAGATTGCGTAGTAGCTGTCACATCAGAGCGGTCAGACTGCATTATCAACTATTCAGGTGCCTCTTAAGTGAAGAAAAATGTTAGTGTTGCTGTATGATTGGACTGTTTTTAGGGTAAATTAGATATTTGGGGTAACATGTAAACGCAACTTTGTAAATAAGGTTGCAGCTCGTCAATGGCTTTTCATGGCCAAGATATGGAATTCGCATCTTGAAGAAATGGAATTCACTAATCAAAGAAATCGAATCACGCTGGCAAACCCATAAAACCATGGCTTGAAAAATCCAGTCAGGGCTTGCCAAGTAGATATATTCCATGCCTAATCATCCACCCGTCATTTTTCCATCATTTATCCATAATTTTTCCAACATTTCCCCATAATTTCCCCAGCATTTTTCAATCATTTTCCTATTATTTTTAATTCATTTTCAGATCATTTTCCCTTCAGTTTATCAAAATTTTCTCATAATTTTCCCATCATTTATCTATCTTATCATCATTCAATCATTCATTCATTTATCTATTAATTATTAATCATTTATTTATTCATCATTCATTCATAACATCATTCATTCATTCATCATTTATTTAGGAATTTGTCATTTACTTATCATTTACGTCTAATTTCTTAATCATTTACTTATCAAAATGGACTTTATTCTGTTCACTTCTCCCTTTGGCTTTTGGTTAATTTATAGCATTCATATCGATCAGTCAGCAGTCACACTCACACCCACTTTTTCCACCCTCCTGCAGTCTAAGTCTCAACTAAAATGTTTTATTTCAGTTAGAATTGATAGCCTACAATGAGAGCTTTCTAATGTGTATATATATAATGGTACTAAAAAGTAAAAACTTTGAAATTGGCACATAGGAAACCTAGATATGATAGCTTTTGCAAAAATGTGGCAAAAATTAGTCCATTTTGGAGACTTAATTTAATAAAGAAAAAATCCATATATTTTCAATTTTTACTTGTATTACAGTTACACTTATTTTTATATGATAATTTCTAACTGTATAGGTAATCTTCATTGATGATTGAGTAATCAAGATCAAAGAAAAAAAATTGGGGCCTTGGGCAGTGTTGTTGTTATGGTTATCCATTTTGAGGTGACTGGAGTTGCTCTCAACTGGGCACTTGCACCTGGATTAATCAAAAGATCTTCAGCAGTTTTTAATTAGGTCAGAGACTCAGAGTGGTGTCACAAGGAGGTCTTGCTGTTCTCTCAGAGGTTGCTTAGGCGTCCTGTACTCTTGATGTACACAACTGTGACCTTTACTATTGCAAATTGGGCACTTCGTAACTTCGTGCCTTCGTGGGAAGTCTCTCCCACCCACTCCCAGGCTCAGCTGACCCAGCAGGTCGTGCCGTCATCGTCCGATGATCGTCGTCGTGGAATGCAACAGGATCTATATTCTATACCATAGGTGGCCACCGCCGAGCTTCCCGATGTAGTCCGCTTATGAGAAGGTAGTGCTCATTTGTATCTTCCACAGTTCCAAGTTGCAGTGCAGTATCCTTGGGCCATGGTGGCAATCCATAGGTTATTCAAAAGAACCTGTTCTTATGTCATTTTGAACCGATCAACGCTTCTTTACGGACCGATCGTAAAACACNTGTCCACTAGTTATAGGACGGTCCCGACTCCCGACATCGCCGACATACAGGTGCCGTTTCCCTACATGCGGAAATTTAATAATTAATTATTGTCCGCTCAGTTTTTAAATACTTCATCCCGACAATAATAAAAGCTTCTGGACTAATTAAATACTTATAATGAGAGCTAACTTATGCTAATGACATTCCCTTTTGGATCTATTTACGATATTCCAATCCATTTTAGGCTTGTATTATGAGACCACACTGAGCATGGTTAAACTTAGGGCAGGGTGGCCCAGTGGTTAAAATTCAGAGTGCCAAGATTGGCGCAGAGAGGCGCGGGTTCGATCCCAGCTCTGTGCGCCAGTTTCTAGTCAGAATCGGCGAGGGGGCCGGACTGTTAATTAAGCAAAACAGAATTGTAGCAGTGAGTTGCGAGTTCGAGACCACAAAAGGCTGCGGATGTTCTGCGATATTAAGAATCGGCGACAGGCCCACAGCCTACTAAATGCTGAAACCGCTATTATTATTTATTATATAAGGTTGACCCACGACAAATTCCGTCTATCAGTTTAGCTTTCTTGTTACGTCACGTAGATCCAGATACGTAAACAAACCCGTCATTCTCATGACGGATTGGTTGACTGATTTGATCGCATTTCGGTGATTGGTTACTGCCCGTGACGTCACTGAGATCAGTGACGTCACAGGCGAACAACGAACTACATCCGCAAAAATGGGCTTCTGATGGGTCAACCTTGTACTGGTTCAACCATGCTACGACCATCACTGGCTTGCTGACCGCCAGAACCATTTTTGCATTACACAACACCCTGGACAAGCCAGGTACTCTTTTATCAACCAGAGTTGGATTAATGGCTGAGTTGACCATGAGCTGAGCTTCCCGGAAGAACTTGTCCTCAGTGGGACTCGAACTTAAGAGCTGGGTGCGAGAGACTGAGTCTCTCACCACAGCTCTGTGAGAATTCTTAACCGGTAATGCCGGTTAGCAATGGTAGACATGCGAATGGAGAGAAATGGAGAATGAATTTCGTTAAATTATAGGCCAACTAAGATTCAGCTGTTAAAATACAAAAATTCTCTCATCATAACGGGTAATGAAACCTAGAATACAAGAATTTTGATTATACGTAAATGGCTTTGCTTAAGAAAGCTGAAGCAAAGAATTTGAAATACTCAAATGGCTTCAAGAGAAGCCGAATTGATGTCTAATGGGGCTTCGATGATGATACAGATTTCAATCCAAGAAATAATCAGCTCGGTCACGTTCTAGCCGCAATTAAAACGGCGATTCAAAATCTGCCATTAGAGCTAATTGTCGTTGATGTCAGGACGTACATGAAAAAGACAACTGGAAAAGAACACACGTCAATATTTGTTATGGAGAATATATATTTTATGCAAGATACAAAAGTACAAAAGTGGAATTGAGTCAACAGGTGATAAATTGCTTAAGCGGTAGCAATTACAGCTAAGGGTTTTATATCTAGTAGGAATAAGCTCAATGACGTAACACTATACCCTGGGCTCATCCTTTCATTGCATCACACATTGCATCAGTAAGGATTTGCTTATGCTACTTGGAACACTCCGAGTATTGCATCCTCTTAAAGCTAGGATATGTTCCGAGGCATCATTTGGGAACTAACACTAACAAATAATTCAACTATTAATGCCTTGACCTTGAAATCCTCCCAAAGCTTTAATACAGGACGGTTTAAGATAACAAGTTCAACACCAACAAAGAGAGGAAAAGGATACCTTGTTCCCGTAACATGCACCATCCGATCGAGAATGGGTAGATGATAGAGGCCGCTGCAAGATTGGTATACGTTAAATGACTAACAGAATGGGACAGTAACTTCGGTAAAACAATCAAGTATTTAAACAAATGTTTCAAGAGGACAGGGATGTACATAAGAAATAACTTGGATTAATAACTGGCCAGAATACAAGAGCAGCTCAGGAAGAAAATAACTGTTGGAATCGATTTTAGAATAACGTGGATGCACCAAAACTACCAGGACACTACAAAGTCAGCGAGCGAGATACTCTAGAGACCTGCATGCCTCATCGCGCAGACGGGCAGTCGGAGTGTTCTCAACTTCGTTTATACGAAGCATGAAATTTATCAAAGTAGCATGGGAATTGGTCTTTAAATCACCATAATAACAGACCAATAAATCAAAGGGAATCGATCGTTTTAGTTAAAAATCGGGCGAGCGGTGGTCGATCCTGGCGAACTCTGAGGAGATACAAATAATTTTGAAACACAATCCGTGTGCGTGGAAATGAAATGGAACTTCTTAAGAGCTAGCCCGATCATAAATAGAATGAACGCTCCACACGTTACAGCGAATGTTCCCAAGGTCAATCCCCAGAATATAAAATAATCAATATCTAAAACTACGAGAAGACAAAAGTAGATAAACATGAATAACATGTGCGAACAACAACATTACTTACTTTATAACTTGAGTGCACACTTTCTAAATTAAGCTCTACGCACTCCAGAGTCATTAAACAAAACACTGATGAACACGAACCTCTAAGTGAATAATAAATTGAACTGATCATAGACTTCATGAAGCAGCCACGTTACTTCAAAATTTAGACTGAAATTAAACTTTGAGCTTCTGTGGAAGCTGAAGCTCGCAGTTTATATATGAACGTAACAACGTCAGAGTTTGCATATGAACGTCAGAAAGGCAAATGGACAACCTATGTTCTTATTAAGCGTGATCAGGAATTTAAAAGTCAAAAATTTGGTAGATGCAACGGCACATTATTAGGAAACATTATCTCGTGCAAATTTTAGGAAGGGCAGCTATTAACCAATGTTTTATGTGGAATAAACTTCAGTAAATTACAACAAAGAAGAAGTAGAAGGGAACTATAATACGAAGCTACAAAAATAAGCACAAAATGCACAAACATTAAGTTCCCTTGTAAAATTCCCATTCAATATGAGCTTAAATGATAAAAGAGACGCACAAATATAAAAAAGAAAATACATGGAATGTATAAAGCGTAATATACTCGCCACGTATATCACATAAACTAGGCTATTTACTTAATACATAAAAATAATTCCAGCAATGCAGAAACTTGAGCTAGTAATTTTGGAGGGAACATATACATTCCTTTTTTTGAAGACGCGAGTAATGTCAATCGCGTGAAACTGAAAATTTCTAGCGGGCTCGCAATGACATTCAATTCAAACTCATTTTATGCTTTAAAGTTTATCATGACCAACCGCAATGAGGTATAGAAATATATTCCTTGTTGGCATTAAAAATAATTCTGAAAAAAATAATGGTTACACTCGAAACTAAAGTCGCCATCATAAAAAGTAGCGAATTTGAGTTAAAAAGCAACTGGAGTTTTGAAAAAAAAAAACAGCACAACTAAAAGAGTTATTTCACCTGGTTAGTCTAGTACATTGCGAGACCAAATACTGCACAAGCATAACAAAATCTTCTACATCGCCATACTCACGCCACTTAACAAATTCAAAGAAGCTCACGCTTAGTTTATGACAAACAATTGTATAGATGAGAGCACCAATCGCGAAGAATAAATGCGAGTCCTAGTATTAATACTTCGTGGAAAAATGGAAAACCACCAACTCCTATCCAAGAAGTGTAATAGGAGAAAAAATAGATCGGGCTTTCTTGCACCACTCGTGCAATATCGACAAAACCAACTGAGCTCTTAATGTAATAAAATCACAAGCAACTTTGTAATACCTAAATGTTGGCTGTCGCTCACAAAACTCAGCAGCAGCCACGGTAATGCATACGGCACGGGAGGCTTGGACAACCAAGCTTTCGAGCTTCCGTACAGTTGACTGAATAAACTTTTAGGTTTTGTACTCCTCTAATTCAAAATGATGAAGTACAAAGAATCATGGCTAGCAATTTTATGAGTTAAAAAATTAAATTCAGCGCGGTTGAGCGAAAAAAATGCATATCTCTAATAGAAACGCGTGCTTCCACGTACGAGACACAATCGATCTCAATATTACTCATACTTAAAAACCGTGAAATAAAATAATTCACCACATTAATAATGTAGGTTAAACAAAATCTGTCGTTTTATGAAAGAAAAATGCTGTAGTAACAATGGTAGATCACCGCCTTCACAACTTAGCGGAGAACAGCATCCATGATTCTCGTTTCCAGATTTCACGCTAATGCAAAACTTCATGCCAAACTTATATTAAAATTAAAGGATAAACATGAATAATTCTTCCCATCATCTCACGGCGCGTCATTAAATACGAAGCAGCTAACATCAAAAGTCTTACGTTCTATTGGTTATATAATATAAATCTGGTGTGTGATTAAACTTAAGACATGAATAATCTCACTCTAACTTGGCAGGTAAACGCTCAGTTCTCGCCGAGACAAGCGAAGTAGACAACCGCTTCTAAAATCTAGTTGAATAGGAACCTTGAACTGTCATAGGAGACAAGTGTCGCTTATACATTTTTACTGGAATCCAACTCCCAGTAGAAATCTGATCCAACAACGATGATTCAGCGGAACGCCAAAGCTACGCAAAATCACATTTTCATATCCTTCTTTGTTCCAGAAGGCTAGGAAAGGCGAACTTCAGATAACGAAGCTAATTTATCAGTTGGATTATTTAGCTGAACAATCTACATGTCGGCACTCTTACAGCTTTAGGTTCGGCAATATGAATATATAATATTAAGAAAATAGTGTTATTGCCCACCGACACACTTCTTTTCCAACACGCAAACCAAAGTTCCTTCCCTTGTTCAGCGATAGGAAGCGGCGCAATTCACGAGATGGTTAGGACGTTTTAATGTCCCCCCAAAATAATGGAAATCATAATGCTAGGATCTGTCCCGTAACGGACAGGCAGCTCCCATGCCTACGACGCATAACAATGACACGGGCAGGAGCATTCATTAGGAGGCAATATTCAGTCAAATTCTGAAATTCATTTTCTCAAACTAGTAACATCAACTTGTACGCAGATCAGCTACCATTCAATTTCATCTTTCCTGAGATGAACTAATATCTCATCATAGGACCCAATACGATTACATGGAAATAACAATTACATCTAAATTGTAGTTCAACATTAAATATTTTTCCAGGGTAAAATGACCCCCTTCATAAAATGATTCCCGCAAGTGAGAGATTGGTTCGCAGTAATGCATTTATAGCAGCACAATATATCACAAAAGCGAATACTATTCATAGGACCTGATCGTACCGACACACTAATGCCAGATCCCCTTTTTTTGTGACAAAAATTTAGAACGGCAGAGAAAAGCTGCAGTGACTATAAAATTCACCTCAGTTCCTTATCAAAGCTACAAAATCATGAGAATTGACCACAACTCTTCAACAAGATTACTTGACACATTAACTAGCTGCTATATCGTATGCCGTAAATAACGCCATGGGCAAATTGACATCAGCATTACGCTCTGTTATAAAAACATACGCAAGGCCCACTTTCAAAACGGCAAATGAGCATTGCCGGCAATATGAATACTTCAACTATAAAACGTTATTCGACTAAAATACAACTTGGCACACACAATAGTCATTTTTCTCAAAAATAGAGGTTGGCTTTCTTTTCTGTGCAAAAACTTTTTGTAAGCAAGTTCCAGCACGCGATTACTACGGTGCAACGCACTGGCATTAAGTTGGCAGTGAATATAATATACAAAACACTGACAATGAGGCATCACAGAAATAGGCAGCGGTTAGACTGATACAAACTTGACTTACTAGAGTAACCTACAAAGACAGCTGGCGATATTTTGTCAACCATCACACTAGTCATCAGTCGTCATTGAGCAAGTATGTGTAAAGGCAGCTATTAGTGAGCATCAGCAATAACCATGTACAATGCAATACGGCGTCATGAAGCGTTCGTTTGCATCAAGATCTAAATAATTAGCTATAGTGCGTGATATGGCACTAGTTGTACGTTAGTTCACAGCTCTAGGTTACTCGCTTCGGTATCACCCACGTGATTCTTGAGCGTCAACAAAAAAAAAATTATCCCAACAACTGCTAATATTAAGTATCATAAAAAAAATGGAGTAAAAACAGTGCATGCATTTCGAAGCGAGTTTTCAAATAATAAAAGGCGTAAAATTCTGCGAGAGGTGTGATGTCTACAGAAAAAATAAACTTGAACGCTTAATGTAGCTACTCGTATTGCATGAATAAGAACACTTATATTACATTGCATAGTTAACTATTCCACCGCAATTGCATGGCAGTAATAAAGTAAGAATTAACTCGTACTGGTTACTCAGAAGGCACGTATCGTATGAACCCTTATCATGCATAGGAGAGTTAACCAGTCTTAGAGGTAGGAATAATTCGTCTAACTTAATTGTCTATGCCTATTGATATGACAGCACTCTGCTCCTCAATGGTCATAAGGTGAATACCATCGAACAAAGAAATAAAAGTTGCATAAGTAAAAACCATCACATTACAACTTTAAATAGGTCTTAAAAAGTCAAAATATCATATTGATGAAAAAGAAACTTGAAATTTTTTTTATCATTCCCATCTGAGTCCAAATGAGCCCACATTAAGTAGACGGAATTTATTAAAACTAAAGTTTCCTGTTCTCAGGAATGTTGCGACATGGTGAAGATAATATGTGACTCGTTGGCATCCATGGACGAGCTTTCGGTGCTATTGAGGTTTTGACCATCGCTTGAAGATTGCATGGGCAGCGAGTGTTGGTGTTGGTGCTCGTGCGAAGTCCATGTCAAGTATCCATTCATTTGTGGCGACTGCAGCATATGAGACTCAAATGCTCCAGGTTGGTTCACCAGGTCGTTCATCATATTCTCCATGTTAGAGGATCCAAGCGGATAGTTCTCCATGACACCGTATGGCAAGTTCACCAATGATGTGTCAATCTCAAAATCTTGAGGATTGTTAGCTAGCCCCAGAATGGGATGTGGATCTCCAACAGCAACATTCCGCATAGAATTTCCAGACATGGCGTTCTCGGCGCCAACTGCCCGATAAGCACCATCAGTTTCTTCATTGTCTATTTCACTTTGGTCGTCGTTGGCTCGCTGCATCCCTAAGAAGTGTTCCTCGGCATCGAGGGCGGCTGATGGCTGGAACGAATCCGCGAACAAATTTTCTGCCTTGTGCATGCGGCGTACGTGCGAACGCAGGTTGTCCCTGCGCCCTGAGCGGTAGTCGCAGAAGGTGCACAAATGAGGCTTGGTGCCTGTGTGCATGCGGATGTGCTGGATCATCTGTAAGCAATGAAACAATTAGCAAAATGCAGTATAAGCCAAACTACTCATCAACTGTTAAATGGACACAACACTAAAAAAAAATCATTGCTCACCTCCGGACAGCATTCGCACAGGCCATAACTCTTCAAGCCATGGCAATATATCACGCATATGGTAATAAATTTTACCACAATTATTTTCAGTCTTATATTCCACAGTGAGAAATATTCGAAATTCATTATATTTTTATTAAAATTGATAGAGCTTATCACTAGACAGCTGTTAAATTTCCAAAAAATGTACATCAAATAAAAGTTCATTTGAGTAAATGTAACAATTTTATTACAATTGATGGAGCTTATCACTAGAATGCTGTTAATTTTCAAAAAAATGTACATCAAATAAAAGTTCATTTGAGTAAATGTAACGAGCAAGACATGGCGCCGAAATCCAGGCGCGGGATCCGGTGCGACTTGCCTTCTTCTCCTGGACCGAATGGAAGCCACACATGGGACACTGCCAGTGGTCGGGGTTACTTGGGCAGCGATGCGTTATGTTCATGTGCAACCGAGCTTCAGATTCCTGAGGAAAATCAACTCCTGCAAAGATCAATTATCTTGTTAGTACAAACGGCTTGAAAAGTATTGTGACACTGCAAAATTCCAAGCAAATTACTGTGATCTAATTCTGAGGTGTACTTGACTGAGCTGTACATTACAAGGTTTTCTTGATGTTGCAATTAAGGTGCAATATCATGCAATTATAGGTACAAACCTATATAATTTTCATGTTAGACATGAGGATTAAAAGCACTGAAAGCAAATAGGCATATTTATACGCTGTTTGTTTAAATTACCATTTCACGCAGTGACTAAAATATAAATTCAATGCATTTGAAACAGCAAACAAAACAAGTGATGAACTCACCACATATCACACAGCTAGCAAAGCAAGTAATAGGCTTGTTTTCAGCGTGCAGCTCCATGTGCCTCTTGAAAGCCTTGTCCTGAACGCACTTGTACTCGCACTGAGGGCAATGCATCTCTTCTTTGCTGTATCTGGAAGGAGAAATTTAGAGTCGCGTTGGCACATCAACATCCAAAAGATCTGAGCATCCAAAGCAGCTAAAATGTCCCAATTCGAACCATGCCAATAAAAACATTGCCGAGTTGATCAGTAAATTGTCATTGAAATGAATAATTCCAAAAAGAAGCAGATTTCATTTCTCACACTCCACACAAGAATTACTAGAACACTTCAAAATAACAAAAATTTTTCACTTTGAATGAAGAAAATTCCGATAGATTG